AAAGTATTCTGATTCTGATTCATTCCTGTTTGCAACAATAACGACACTAACTCTGAGCACTAACCTGGAAAACACTAAAAGTATAGATCAATCAAGAGTCACGTCTTTCATGACAGCCCTCTATCACCACTTTGTATTAATGTGGGCAGAAGTCAAGAAAAGAGACGGTGCGATCAATACAGGTTTATGATTATTGATTAGGCCTATCATCTAAGGGAATTCAAAAGGGGAAAGGAACACAGCAGAAATCATAATTGATTTTAGTCCTTACAGAGAAGCCTGGGCTCCTTTACTGCAGAGCTACATGTAAACATTTCTGAAGACGTCTGCCGTTCTCGCTGAGGCTGGGAGTCAGCAGGCTCAAATGTTTATTATTCTGATTACAAAGCAACACCGTTATTAGACCAGTAACTACACAAAGGGTTTAAAGGGTTAAAACCCACATCTGCATGGAGTGACTTAATACTAAGGTGTTATAGGGACATCGAGCATTGAGTCCTTAATGCTAAGTCTGAAGTTCAGTTTTTAAAATTTCACACTTATTGGATTCTGAACTTCAACAGGTAACAAAGGAACAAACAGTCAGGCTGCTGCCTCCATTTCTACATGTTCATATTTCTAAAGCAGAATCACTGTGGCGATCATGTCTTTGTGCTGCTTTTTAACTGTAATTTGTGTTACTGACTTCATGTTCATACCTAGAGAGAATCGGAAAGGAACTGAAATTGCTAAAGTCTAATCAATGCCCATCCCTAGTGATGGATTGATAGATTAATGTGTATTATATGTTTTTATCTATTACGTATGAATATGTAAGTGAAAGCCAAATGACACTATGCATGTATTTCTTCTTGTCCTTCAATTCTTGTTCATTGTGATGATCATCATTAACCTTCACCCTCTTTCTCTTTCAGCCTTACTAACCACCGACTGTGAGGCTCACTTATGCGCACATTAAACTATGGGAGCCTGGCTGACTCTCCTCCTCTACTGCCCACCTTTGTCTTTGGTTTAGTAAATTATTCTTGCATTATTAAAAACCCTTTGAACTACAACAACTTTGTGGCACCTTATATATTGGGATACTCCTGATTTTACAAAGTACAACATTAATAAAAAGCAATGAGCAGGTGATGTACTCACCACTGATAACCTGACCAAAGAGCTCCTCTGGAGTGTCTCCGAAAAAGGGAGCGCAGCCCACCAGGAACTCATACAGGATGACTCCCATTGCCCACCAGTCCACCGGCTTGCCGTAGCCCTGACGGAGAATCACCTCGGGGGCGATGTACTCTGGAGTGCCACAAACCTGCAAAAGCAGAACATTAGCTCAGCACATGAAAAACACACACACAAAGGTATTTATTCAGTTTTGTTAAGGAAAGACAGGCATAACTTCTGGGTCTGAAAAGTGAAGCCAACACTATGCAAACATGCAAACACTGCCCTTGGGCTTTGTCTCTGTAAAACCTTTCTGCTGAGTTTACATACGGAATAAAACATCAAATCCATTTTGTAAACTGACATAATTCAAAGTTTAAGAAAGGAATCGGGGGTGTGCTCACTGACTAACTACTTCTGAATGACAAATGTGAGTGTGCAGTTTCACAGTCAGTCATAACATGCATACATAAGCCTTAAAAAGCTCATACCTGTTTGTCCAGAAACTCTCGGGTGTCTTTCTCTATGTGTCCTTCATACAGATTTGTGGTCAAACTCATCAAACCGATTTTAGAGAGGCCAAAGTCCGTCAGCTTGATGTGTCCCAAAGATGTGATGAGAAGACTGCACGAGAGAAAATTGAAAGTTTCTGTCCAGACAGCAAATGTTGGAAAAACAGTGCACTATTTCTATTAGTTTCTAACCTTAGTAATAACAATAATCAACAAAATCATAAACAAAGAAAACACATATGAGCAACTTATGTTAAAGTAATTACTGCGAAAAAACACTGTGAACAAGGCTTCAGACTGCTCCAAACACTCGTCATGGTGCAGTGTGATGTGGATATCCCTATTTTAGTTATCTGAGTCTTACTTGTCAGGCTTGAGGTCTCTGTGCACGATGCCATAATTGTGAAGATATTCTAAGGCGAGGACAGTTTCAGCAAAGTACATACGAGCCATATCCACAGGCAAGGCTCCGATATTCTTCAGGAGTGTGGCACAGTCGCCACCTATAGATGACACATGAGAGTTGCAATATTAGACAACATAATACTACTACCACCACTAATGACAACTAGTAATTATCTTACCCTCCACATACTCCATCACCATGCACAAGTGTCTCCTGGTCTCGAAAGAACAGAACATTGAGACAACAAAAGGGTTCTCAGCAAATGTTAGTATGTCTCGCTCTACAAAGGCCTGCTGGATCTGGTTCCTCAGGATCAAGTTCTGCTTGTTGATCTTCTTCATAGCAAATCGTTGCCTGGTCTCCTTGTGACGTACGAGAAACACAGCCCTACACAGGACAAGAAAGGTATTCAGGTTTTACAAAGAACTTAACATATATTAAAAATACAGACAGAGAGATGGGTTAAATGCTGTTGTACCCATAGGCTCCATTACTGATGAGCTTGATATTTTCAAAGTCCTCCTCTCGAGGGGTTTTGGCTTTAGTCTGTGGTGATCCTGCTGGGACTGTGGCTACTCGAGTCTGAAACACAAAAGCAAAAAACATGAAAGGTTTTCAACCCAAAGAGAAGAACCATGAAAAAAAATCTTTACTGTATTTTCATAAATGATTAGTAAAATTCACCCTTTTGTATGTTTCTGAATCTACAAGTTGCTTGAAAAGTGATTTCAAATTGATTAGATGATTAAAATGAAAGTCAATTAAACTGCTTACATTTTTGGTCTACTTTCACAGATTCCTATTTAACACTCCTTCATTGTATACTCACGTCAACTGAATCATCTGTCTCTGGGGTTTCTGGGTTTCCACTATCATAGCTGCTGAGCTGAGTCATTTCTACAATGAGACACAAGGATCAATGACCAGGAGAAAGAGGAACCGAGGGGGGCAAAGAAAAAGACAGTAGTTAACCAGTTAAATAAGAAATATTTGATGTTTGCTGATGTTACCCTCCAGAGGGTCCCTGGTGAGGCCCAGCTGGCTGATGATGTATCGGGGAATGTCAGACTTAATGCCCTGGCCTTCTTTTGCATGGCCTTCAGCTGCTTCCAACAAGTGGTAGAACTCCTCAGGATCAAACTCCTGCAAAGGAGGGAGAGTGGAAGGAGGTCATGAAGCAGGAGTGGCATAAAGAGACAAATCAAAGCTTAAGGTTCAAAATCAAGTAATAACAGAATGAGAATCTATTTCTTTTGGTGCCAAAATGGTTCCTACAATCTCAGGTGTGTAAGTTGTTATGACAGCCATGACACATGTGAATTTAAAAGGTTGAAAGCCTCGACCTGTCCAGACTTTTATTAGCTGTTCAGTCTTTTGCCTTGCAATAATAACAATAAACAGTAACATATAATATGAAGATTCTTTGTGTAGTTCTGTATCTGTGATAATTCTCCGGTAACGAAATATCATAATTTAGCACAAAATGCTCCCGTCCTGTTTGAGTCTCGACACGGAGAGAAACAGAAATTCATCTGGTTATCTTATTAGATCAAGATATTCAACTCTGATTTAAAGTGAGTTGCCCCAACAACAGCGCTGCACAGAAAAAAAACACAATCTAAACCTTCTGTGTGATTCTAAAGCAATCACAGAGCGAAGACTTGGACGGTGCTGCAGACGTACAGGATGTTTTGCTGGGCAGAAACTTCTGTGTCCTCTGACTAAGACAGACTGCCTGATTATTCCCTTCTTGTGGACACACATAAACACTTCCTGCCCCCTCTTGTCTCTCTGTGCTTTCATTTGTAAAAACCCATCCTGTTCAGTGTCACAGCTTCAGCTGTATGCAATTAGTCAAAACTACTGATGTGAGGACTGGGGAAACCTCCCCTCTTGTCCTCCTCTTCCTCATCCTCTACTGCCCCTCCAATTATCCCTGTCTTCTGCACTCCACATCTTTCTTTCTTTCCCCTTTTCCCCTTCTTTTCCCTAATGTCAAACTCCTGGGCTCACCAATTGCTGGTTCCATCTATTAGGCTGAAAATGCAAACCATCTCATCCAGGGATACAAATTGAGAACCGGTTCTTGTAGAGAACTAGTTCCCAGTAGTCCAATTCCTTGGAATTGTTAGTCTGTCTGCCTATCGATCCCACTTATCGGTTTTTGCACTCGCACTACAATCCGCTGATTTCAGTTCACGTGTCAGAGGAGGAAAATAATGACACAGTTTAGAGTGTGGATACGGACTTTTTTTTATCGTACAAAAGGACGAGATAAATGGTTAAGTGGAAAACTGCTTCCAGGACAGAAACAACTGCTTACACACCTATGTATGTATTTTTTTTAGTTTGTATGTAATGGTGGTGACTCTCAAAACAGAGCCAATGAGAACCTAATGACAATCAATAAGTGATATCAATAATGGAATCACTAAATTTGTACCAACTCCCATCCTTAATCTCATCCCAAAATCATGGAGGTCCTCTGAGAGAAGTTTGAATAGGTGACAGACAGAGAAAGAAAAGAAGCTCTGCTGTTGTCTAAACATAATGTTGCTGAGAGGTGTTAATGTGTGAGCATGTGTGTACATTAGACTGTTTTGAAATACCCATAAATTGATTTATTGGCTTAAATTTCCACCAAGAAGTAGAAAGCTCTAAATTGCATTTTTCAAGCGTTTATGGAGCGAATCTGAACAGTATGAAAAAACACAATTCCAGTTAATACCAGTAACTTAAATGCAAAAAGGACTCAGTAGCTGTTGAGGATAAGCAAGCAGGGTAAGGTTTGGTGAAAAAGGTGAATAAGCTTCATATTTAAATAAAAAATTAATTAAAAAAAACATCTGGAAGGTCTGTGAAGGTCTTTCTTACCAGACACTCGAGCAGACGTGCGGGCCGGGCGATTATGATCATCAGCTTCTTGACAAGTTGTGTGACAAAGGTAACCTCTATGCTTTCAGAACGCTCATGAGCCTTAAAGAGAACACAAGAGGACTCAGGGTTAAAGCAAAAAGTGTACAAAGAACAATTATTACAAATATTCTCTGCAATATTAAATTCAAATAGGCAAGAAAAAAACAATAACAACAAAAAAAAAACCAGCTAACAAACAAACAACTCGTATCTGTCAGGACAGGACAATAATTCATCAGTGTGAACTTTGATGACCTTGCACTGAATAGAAAACGTCTCTTGTGCTGGATTTGTCCTTCATAAACAAAGCAGAACAGCCATGAGGATGAACAGATGGTGGAGTCCTTCTTTCATTGACACCTGAGAGGTAATCTAAATCAGAAATGACCTCTGCCTCACTCCTTCGTATCCACCATGAAATGTCTGCCAGCATGGAGACAGAGCAATTTACTCAGCAATCCGTTGTAACTGACTGGAGATGCAGCTGGAGCAAACACTGACCCCTGGAAAGAAATGGGGTG